CTGATCTCCCTCAGGTCCAACGAGAAGACCATGGTGGCGTGGGCATGGATCGGCGTCGCTGGGGCCACATTCGGCGGGCAGGGAGCCAAGTGTCCCCCCCCTCCCCCCCCTTCCCCCGGCCGATCGTCACCCCTGGTCCTGGTCATGGGAGGACGAGATGGCGGGCGGGATAACAGTCCGGCCACCCTCAAAAATGCCTCAGTGGGCAGTTGGGCCGATTTGACATCTGCTTCTGTCAAAACAGGCAGTTTCCCCCCCGGTCAGGCCCCCCTTGATCGAGAACACCCTGCGAGTCCCCCCCCTCCCCTCTCCCAGCCCGCCCCACCCACACACCCGCGCTCCGGCCAAGGACCCATCATTTCCGGACAGGACCTCCGGCTGGGCGTCCGTCTTTTTGTCCTCGAACTTCATGAGGTGAGGGCTTTTCTCACAGCAACAGAGAGGTCCGGGTGCTCCCCGAGAAGAATATGTACTTGAGTGTATTGTCACCCGGGCACAGCTCGCTTGTGCGAATATTTACACACGCTCCGCAAGTATGCTTCAACATGGGGAAGGACAAGAGAGAGGGAGGCGGGGGGGGGGGGGGGGAGGGGTGGGGGGGGGGCAGTGAGGCCCTGGGGGAAAGGGCGGGCCGCCAGCCCGCAGCTCTGGCTAGTTGGCGCTGGAAGCCGCCACAGCTGCCGTAGTCTGGGACTTAGACGAGCCGGACCGCGAAGAGGCGCTGCCGTCACCACCACCACCACCACTCCGGCTGGAGTGCCTCGAAGGCTCCCCGCGGGCCCTGTCGCCTGAGGGCGACGCAGAGCCGGGCTCACCATTACGGGCGCGCTTGTCTCGGTGATCGGCCTTCCCAGCGGGATGGTGATCCCCCCCGCGGGCGCGCCTCCGACGGTCGTGTTCCCAGTCCTGAGAGCGGGAGTCCGATCGGGAGTCCGACCGCCAGCGCTGGTCAATCGGCGGGCGCCCGGACCGATCGCGCGATGACCGGTGCGGGTCGCCACCGCGGGATCGAGATCGAGAGCGCGACCGAGAGCGCGAGCGTGAGGATGACCCACGCGAGGGATGGCCCTCCTCGCTACGGCCCAAGTCGTGTGGCGACTGGCGTGGCGATGACGGCCGGGGAGGGTGATCGGGCCGCCGAGGCGCACCGCCCTCGGTCGGGAGCGGCCGCCGCGGAAGGACAATGTTGCTGGTTGAAGGCTGGCCACCAGCCGCGCAGTAGGCCCCGACGATGCTGTCCAATACCGCATCATCCATCAGCAAGAAGAGACTCTGGACCGAGGTTTCCTGTCCCTGTTGCTGGTAGTTCTGCACAAGAGACTCGAGCGCTCCCACAATGTAGGCCTGACTGTAGTTTCGAACCGGGACAGCCTGTTTGCCGAGACCCGGGGGGGGGGGGGAATGGGAAGAGGGTCAGAAGGAGGGCTCTGCGTCGTAGTTGCATGGAAAATGACCCAGACAGGAGGGGCCATGCAGTAGCTTGACTAGGGGCTAAAAGAAGGAGAAGGAAGAGACGCACCAATGGTGGCATGGCACTGTCATGGCCATGCGTCGCTTCCATGGGTTCCGTCAGCCCGCGCGGTCTGGTGCCAGCAAATGGTGCGGTATGGGCGCCGCCGCCGCCACCGCCGCCACCACCACCACCGCTGCCGGCCGTCGCCAGCGGCTTGATTGAAAGAGTCGATGTGGAGGGGCCCTGCCGGGGAACCATGGGCTGGGAAGAGGCATGCATGCGGTCCGAGCGTGGTGGGGGGCGCTGCTGCGAATGCTGCTGTTGGTGCTGTTGGTGGTGTTGGTGGTGTTGATGGTGCTGCTGGTGTTGATGGTGCTGCTGGTGCTGTTGATGCTGCTGATGCTGCTGCTGCTGCTGCTGCTGGTGGTGGTGGTGTTGGTGGTGCTGCTGTGCCTCACTGCCTGAGCCGCCCCGGTGCCGCGAACCAGCGCCATGGGCCGGCAGTGAGCTAATATTCACCGATGAGGCGGGGTTTTTGGAAATGCTGATGCCAGGACCGCCCGGGGCTGGAGCAGTCTCCACCGAGGAGGGCGAGTGCACATGCGGGCTCGAGGACCCGGAGTGTGGCGACCCGCCGGTGGCCGCGGCCGATTCGATCACCGACGCCCGATACGCCTCGACCTTACTCCGCAGAGCAGGATTCGGCTGGATCATGTCTGGATGAACGCCCGGTCGCTTGCAGTGGAAGCACTGCAGGCGATCATCGTCCACCAGATAGTCGCGAATGCCTAACACAAATCGCCAACATGTCAGCGTGGGACCGGAGGAGGGGGACATGGAAAGGAGGGACAAAGGGAAGGGAGGTCCACACATGGGTACGCACATGAGTCACAGAAGCTGGTAAAGCAGCAGTCCACGGTTGAGGCCTCCCGCAGGAGTTTATGGCAGATGGGGCAGGCAAATTGCTCAGGCGGGGCAACCTCATCCACCGAAGAGGCGGTATTGGCCACGGCCAGCACGCGCGTGTGCTTGTTAAATTGCTTGCTGCAAGATGCCCGAGGAGGGGAGGTCAGCATTCGAGCCCGATAGCGATGCCATGGAAAGGGACAGCAAGAAGCCGGGAGGGAGGGGCAGATCAAATGTGGGGACATACTCATTGGGGACCACTCGGAAGGTGCCGGAAGCATCGTCGGACTTCAACTGCGCTCGAGGAATGCCGTACACGGCGCGAGTGGGCTCCGGGCGCGGGGTGAAGCCCGGCTGCCCAGGCATGGGTCCCATGCCGCCCGGCCCGCCTGGGCGCATCCCACCCCCCGGACCCATCATCGGCCCGTGTCGAGGCTGTGGCAAGCCCAGGGGCGCCTGCTGGGCATTTTGCAGGGACGACTCCTGCATGGCCTGGAGCTTGAGCAGATCCAGCGAGGCGGCACCAGGCTCGCCGGAAGGGGTGGCCGAATCGCCGGGCTCAGACCCGGCAGCCGCCGCTGGGCCCGCCGGGTTTGCGGCCTCGGGCCCGGAGGATGGAGTCCCTCGCAGGAAGCGAGCCTCATCGGCCGACATGCCAATCGGCCGAGCATCAATCCCAGCCAGGGAGGTGGCCCCAAGCACCGGTGCTGCCTGGGGGACCGGGTTGACAATGGTTCGCCGCTGCTGGTATGCCGGGGCACCATACTGCCCGGCGAAGGACCGCGACACCGGCGCGCGGCTCACCAGCACGGATGAGTTTCCATTTACAAATGGGCCGGTAATTTCTGCAATTTACGCAGACCGCAGGGGACGGGGCGGGGTCAGAGGGAAGTCCACAGGAAGGGTGGGGGGAAAAGGAGCCATCCCCCAAAGGCTCAGTCACCACGTACCGGTATCGTTCTCCTCATTGTACAAGCGCAAATACTCGACGCCAGGCGTGATGCGCTCTGCCTCCATGATCCGGCGCTTCAGCTCATCAAGCTGAATGCGCGTGCCCTCGAATTGAACCGCACGCCCGCGGTCAGCCGAGCGGAACCGGTAGTAAACCACCGCCATGGTGCGATATCACCTAGCGTAGGGGACGGGGGAGGAATCGAAGGGGGAGAGGGAGGAGGGGGGGGGGGA